TAAAAAACAAATAAATAAATTTCTTATTAAAATAAAAATATGGATTAATTTAAATCTTATTTAGGTTTTCTTAAATTATCTCTTTATTTTTAAATTTTGATTATTATAAAATTATTAAATTGATTGATATTTATTTCAAATTATAAATTTTTATTATTTTTTCTTAATAAATTAAAATATAGAAAGTAAGCTATTAAAATCACATTACGAATTATATAATTTATAATATTTATAACTCATTTTAATAGTAAACCTCCTATATAACAAAAAATTTGTTGTAATATAAATATTATGTTCAATAAACATTTTTACTATAAAATTTATTTTCTTTTTTTTTAAAAATTTCTTTAATACTTCATTCTGATCTTTAAAAAAACCTTACTTTAATTAATGATTTTATAGTAAGAGAAAGCAAAAAATGAGATATTACATATATGATATAATTAAAAAACTTGCTGGTTTAATTCAAAAAGATTTTAATATAATTCTTAATACTACTTTAAGCTAATCAGTTACAAGATTATAAAATTGTTATTTTGAAATGATCTATCACCTTCTATTATTAGATAAAAACATTTTTTTAAAAATTGATTTTTAAGAAAAAAAAACTATCACCTAAAATTATTTATCAATTGAATATTAGATAAGCTTTTAATAGAAAAGTATTAAGGATAATAAAGCTGAATAGAACCTAAAATTTTAAAACATTTAAAAAAAAAGTTAAATAATTTATTCCTTTTATTTGATTTGTTAAAATTACTTGTATTGTATTTTATAATAAAGTTTATCCTTATAAGCTATCATACTTTGATAAATATTATTACCAAAAATAATAGTATCCTATAGAAAAACTCTAATTTTAATAATAATTAAATGAATCAATTAGATATCTTTTATATACAGTCAACCCTCTCTATAATCACACTTCTCAAGACTAAAAAAAAAGATATAATTATAAAAATAATATATAAGAAGTTTGCTAGGAAAATCAAACTCTATAAATTTTTTTGATTAAAAATAAGATCTTATTAACTAATAACATCAAAGAAACTAAAAAACAATAAAAATCAAAATTTTGTTAAAAATTCACAGAGCCAGATTTTCCTAATAATCTTCCCATATGATGTGACTAAAGAGAGTTTTATTAAAGATGGTCCCCATAATTATTTTCAAATTTCAATTAAGTTGCAACTTAATTGCGACATAAGGAATTTTAATTGCGCCACAAGTTGCAACTCAATTGCGCCATTTTTTTTTTAATTGCGGTGTTATCTTTAGTTTTATTAATAAATTTATTAGTAACTTGGGCAAATGTAAGTGTGCTTATAAAGAGGGTGACTATATATGGGTGTGACTATAGAGAGGGTCGACTGTAATAATTAGTATCAGTTTAAACTGATTGATCAATTATATAACAAGGATAAAAAGCACAATAAAACAAAATCTATAATAGAAATTGGAACCTGTTAACCAACCTCTAATCTATGGTTAATATAATCACATTGGCTATATGTGTTTTTATAAAAGGTATTATCTAAAAGTTTTCTCTGACAATAATTATTTGGAATTTTTCTTATATCTTGTGGTCATTCAAATGTATTTGGTAACGCTTTATGTAAATATAATCGGTATCGAAAAATTGAAACCTTCGTAATTGAAAAATAATATTTTTTTTTTACTACAAGAAATTCGTTGATGTTACATTTCATTACATAATAATATTCACTTTGCATATTAGTTCTTCTATATAAATATAGTACGTAAAGTGAACTTTTAACCAATAATACAAATACAATTGAAATAAATTAGACTTTAAATTAAAAGAATTGGAACCAGTAACTTGATAAATCGATCTACGTCAGAAAAGTCCAATTTTCAATAAACATGTGCTAAAAGGAGCAATAGGGTTTAAGTGTAGGGCCCGATTACATAACAATTAATACAATTGTTAGAAAAAATTAATTATGATGCGTTATAACTTTTATAAATATTTCAAATATACTTCTGTGTTGCAAGTTTATATGAAAATCACGGACGTATTATATTATAAATTGCATATGAATCGTTTCTCAATTAACATTTGATTAATCGATTTTAATCATTACTTACCAAGAAAAGAAAATATTTTGCCATAGATATGTTTATTTGTCTAACAAAAAATAAAAAAATTGGTTGCCAAATAAATATACGTATTTGCCTAATTATTTACCATAATATCGTTACAATAATATTTATTCTTATTATTTTATTTAATTGGTCAACATAAATCGGACATAATTTCTTCTGGTCAGTATTTTCTCTGGCCAATGTTTCTTTAGCCATAATTTTTCTGGCCACCACTAAAATTAAATTTGCCAAAAAAGAGCTCCAATACGACCTTGTTTTATTTCTAGATATAAAAATGATGGTTTCGCCAGGAAGTAAAGAATCGGCTTAATATAATTTTCTTAGATTTCAACGATTTATTGTAAAGATAACGAAAAGGTCTATAGATAAACTGTACTGTATGAATGTAACTGAAACATTACCATTATCGTTATATACAATTTTAATTTTATAATATCATACAATATGATGTGATCAGTTGCATTCATATCATATATACAGTACAATTTATATATATACTCATAATGAAACGCTTCTTTAATATCTTTTTTAATTTATCCGCAATTTCTCCTTTGAACACAAGACTACTCGCTTGGCTATTTCACATAAACTGGATTATACGAGAAATTTTGTGCGTAAAAATTAATTTAAAATGAACATACCTAATCATATTGATAGCCAGCGTTGAGGCAGTTAATAAATTCAATTAAAACCCAACTTTTATTACATATTTTTATTCGATTTCTTAATTCGAATCGAACAAATTTATCTACACGTTTTCTTGCACTTCGTAACAAGGGCTTTAATATTACTGATTCGATGAAAATCAAAAGCAACAAAGCAAGTACTTCAAAATGGCTATTCATGCCACTAAAAGCCTCCGCACCACATTTCGACTTCTTAAAAGGGAAGTCTTGTGATAAGATCTTTATAGGTTGATTACTCTCCTTCCAGTAACCAAAACGTTGTTTTATAGATTACAAATTGGTTGGAAAGCTGCGGAAAAGGTTTCGGGTTGCAGATCTATTTTTATTTTCATTATTATCGACCTCTTTATTATAGATTATAATTACAGAACATCGTAATCTCCTAATTATAAATATAAACTTTTTTTTTCAGTAATACTATTAGAGTTTTTAACCTTTTTCATTCATAGACTTCGAATTATTTATTTATTATAATTACATTATTGCCGAGATTATTTATTTTTTTTTTTAATTCTAGTGATTTAACGATAACCTCTATTAATTTGTGGAATTTTTGATAAATCTCTTTTATTTGATCATCTTGTTGTATCGCGAACGGGGTGTTGACCTTGAAATAATTTAGAAGAAAATATAACCTAACAAAAATTGTAATTTTTAGATTAGAAGTGAAATAATAAATACAGCATATTATGGTACCAAAATTTTTACTTGAAGATTCTTCGTTAAGATTCATCCATATTCCTTTTTTGGAAAAGAAGTGAAACATTATTTTTTCTTGTTGAACAGTTGAAGATATGTTTTGTGTCCTGTAATATCCATCTGTTCAGTATGAGATAACCAAGAGACATCCATAAAGAAATTCTAGTGAACGCATTGAATGATCGACAAGGTTGCTTCCATTTAATAATTACCATGATATTTCTCAAAAAAAAAAAGAGGCAATAAGTTTTTTCAAAAAAAGGTATATATAATTCAATATAAAAAATTTAATTAGTGATATGAGACAAATCGGCCCATATGATATCTGGTCAGAATACTGGATCGATCATGTTTGTCGACCAAGCGTTGGCAAATGGGACCCTGATAAGTCTTGAAATGACCACAGAATTTACCATTATTGCCACGTACTGATCAGATTTACATAATCATTCTATTTCTTGGGGTTTTTTTGGTCGATTTGAAGTCTTGATTTGATTGGTCAGATCATTTTGTACGATACATGCAAACCTTAAAAAAGGGGTAATTGAAAATTATTCAAATTTCAAAATATTGGCGAAAAAAAAAGCAAGTCCTTATAATATGCAATTTTTAAGTCAATAAATAAAAAGGGATTTCTTTTTTTGCCTAATTAATTCAGCAAATCATGGTTTCATTTTCCGGGAACAAAATTTTCGCTGGATGTATTTTTGGGGCACATGATTTCATACTCTCTTATGTGTTTATTAAAAAATAAAAGGCTCGTACAATAAGGTCAAAAATGTTGTTGAACAAGTAGGATCCTAACTTAATAACGACACATTAAAACTCTCTTTGTCAATCAACTTACCCATAAGAGCAACAAAAAAGTGTTCCCGTAATTCATCGGGTCCTTTTTATTCACTAAATTCTTTTTTCTTAAAACATAAATAAAGTTAATCTATTTATTTCTATTAATAAAGTTTGATATCATATGGTGTTTTAAGAACAAGGTTAAGCGAACAATAAGTGTATCATGCATAACAATATTAACCATTTTCCAATAATTATTGTATACTCATCCGATCATTGACTTTTCGGGAATAGTTTGTACGTTTATCGGTGATCCAATATCCGGTTATATAATTTATTTCCTAATTCAGACATAATGAATGAAACGCAAACCTTCTTTTGGAATCCCTCCTTGTTATGGAATTCGTTTTATAATTGGCTGGATGTTAAACAAGGTTGTTCGGAATTTGGCATGCCGCAGTTACTCATTTAATATAAATATGAACTTTCGTTTCTCTCTTTCTCAAGTAGGAAAAAAGAACTTTTTATAAAAAATAGTAACAAAAAAAGCTCTTACTTTTCTCAACTTGTTGATCAAGTTCACAAATCCCTTCATCTTTATAAGCTCGTAGATCGAGTCAAAACATACCATCCCTTTTCAACTTCATTAAAACTTTTTCTTTTTTTTTTACCTTCTTTTAAAAAAACGAATTTTCTAAAATGACCAAAGTCAACATTCCATCAATTTTAGTCTCTCCCGATTCACCTACACCAAAAAGTACAAAATCCTTTTATTCGCTCTTTTCTCTAAAAACTCCCTCTATAAAATCCCCATTAAAATCGCCACAAAAATCTCCAATCAAATCATTCAAGTCAACTACTAATTCTTCAAAGAATGAAATAAGATATGTATTAAATGGTGCGAAAAGAGTATTAACAAAATTTCAACATTTTAATCATCATCATGAATTATGCGTAAAGTGTACCGGATTCATTGAACAAGTAATTAAAATATTGGAAGAGGTTGGAACTTTATCGGAAAATAATAGAGATCAATTAATTGAAACTAAAGAATATAATGATTGTAGCACCTTGATTTTTGAAATTGAATATTATTTCAAAAAACTTGATCAAGTAAATTCAAATCAATTCGTAGTTAAGGAATCTCTCAAAAAATTCGTTCTTAATTTGGAGATTGTTGTTAATGCTATCCAGAGAGCCTCTGAACATTTGAAACCAAAGAAAGTAAGTAAATGGAGTCCTTCTATCGTTTCGAAAATAAAAACGATTGGAAAATTGATGGTTATGAAAAAGGAATCAGATCGAATTAAAGATGATAGCGATTTCGTTCCTCTTATGCATGAGGAGGAACCTGTAATTCAACAAGGATTAAATATTCCGACCAGTGAAGTAGAAGATCCGTCAAACATCCCGACAAGTGTGGAAGATCCATCGAACGTTCCGACAAGTGTGGAAGATCCAATAGAAGTTCCAGTAATTGTGGAAGATCCATTGAAAGTTCCGACGAGCGAGAAAGAAGATCCAATTGAACCTATAATTCAACGAGAAGTAATTATTACGGAAAGTTTAATTAGGGAAGACGAAAGTCCAAATGAACCTATCATTCAACAAGATATCATTATGCCGACAGGTTTCATTAAACAAGAATTGATCATTTCAACAGGTCTCAATCGTGGGGGCAATAATGAAGGAATGTTTTTTAATAATAAAGTTTCCGAGAAATGTATTGGAATCATTCCAAGAGATGATATCAAATTCACTAAATTTCAAAATGAAATGTCATATCTCATGAAATTATCATGTGGTTGTAACAATATTCTCTCGGTAAAAGGATTTACTGAACGTTCGATTATGGATAATCCTTCCATTTTGATTTATATTGTGAATTACTTGATAAGTTCTTTATTCCTTAAATTAACTTATAGAAATAAATATGCAACAATGTTGGTTACCGAATGGGCGGAATTTAATCTTCCAGATTATTTAGAAAAAAATGACCTAGATTGGAGTGCTAAACTTTCTATCGCTCGTGGAATTGCCAATGCGTTGAATCATATTCACAATTTAAACTTACTTCATTACAACGTCAAAAGTGATAGCGTCTTATTGGATCATAATCTTGAACCAAAACTTCATAAATTTGGTATGGATGCAAAAGATTGCATCTTTTTAAAATCAGCAAGATCATTGAAATCTTCAAATTGGTCAGCTCCTGAAGTTAAACGAGGGGGAAAATACACTTCAGCAAGTGAGGTTTATAGCTTTGGAGTTATTCTTTGGGAGATTGCCACACAAGAATGTCTATCAGGAAATAAATCTATCGATAAAAGAGATATTGATGATGCGCCAACAAATTATCTGACCCTCATGAAAAGCGCTTTGGATCAAGAGCCTCAAAATCGTCCAACTATGCAAGAGATGTTTGATTCTCTGAGTCAATTGGAGTCTTTTTATAGTGCCCGTCAACAAAAACAACAAAATCTTTCGATAAGAAATATTATAAATATATTACATACGAATTCTGTTGTTTCTACCTCATCTGAGGATCATCTCACTATTGGTAAATATTTCTTTTTTTTTTTTTTAAATTTCAACTGTCAAAAAATTTCATAAATTCTAATACTTAACAATATAATTTTAGATTCTGCATCATCATCACGAGTAACATCACGTGCAAACTCACCGGCACCTTCAATATCAGATCACGAATATATGTTCTTCACCAATAATGTCAATACTACTTCAAAAGTTGAAAATTCTACCGATAATGACGAATTTACTGTTAGCGAATCTACTTCAAGTATTGAAAAATCTTCCACCGTTAATGTCAACGATACTTCAAATCTTGAAAAATCATCAATATTTACCAATCATGTAGTAGAATCACCAATTTCCACTAAAAATGTCGACTGTAATTCAGATAACGAAAATTCATCAACGTTTACGCTCACCGATGACGTCGACTACCATTCAGGTACCGAAATTTCAACTTCTACCAATGACGTCGATTATCATTCAGATACCGAAAATTCAACAATTTTCACCAAGGATGTTGAAACAAATGCTGAAAAGTCAACAATTTTTACAAATGACGTCGATTATCATTCAGATACCGAAAGTTCAACAATTTTCACCAAGGATGTTGAAACAAATGCTGAAAATTCACTAACTTCCACCAATGATGTCGATTATCATTCAGATACTGAAAGTTCAACAATTTTCATCAAGGATGTTGAAACAAATGCTGAAAAGTCAATAACTTTTACAAATGACGTCGATTATCATTCAGATACCGAAAATTCAACCACCATCACCAATAATGTCGAAACAAATGCTGAAAATTCCCCTACTTTCACCAATAATGTCGACCATAATTCAAATATTGAAATATTGCAAACTCTTACCAACGATATAAAATCCACTTCAAATATTGAGAAATCATCATCAACCATTATCCATCACGTCGAATCTGCTTCAAATGCTGAAAATTCACCAACTTTCACTAATAATATCAAATCTACTTCGGATACTAAAATACTTACCAATGATGTAAATTCTGCTTCAAATATTGAAACCATTGATTTGAATGAATTTCAGAAACTTCATAACAATAAACAGTATCGTAAAGCATTTAGATTAATTAATGGTTATTCCAAACAGGATCCTAAAGTACTATTTTGGTTGGGATATTATCATTATAAAGGATATCATGAATCATCTCCATATAAGCAAGATATAATGACAAGCTTCAAATATTTAGAAGCAGGAGCAAAACTAAATGATCCCGACGCACTATACTATTCTTCTTATATATTATTTAATTGTTGTTTAAATGGCATAGAGAATAGATATGAAATTGCTTTAAAGCATTTGAAAAAAGCATCAGAACAAAATCATCCAGCTAGTATGCTCGAATTAGGTAAGTATATGATAAATGGTAAATTTGGTTGTAAAAAAGACATTACATCTGGTAAAACTTTGATCCGACGGTCAAAGGAATTAGGCAACAGATCAGCTAAATTTAACCAGAAAGTAGATGACACGAAAGCAAGGAAATATCGAAGTGCTTCAAATGCATCTACAAGTCCTTTGAAAAGAAATGTTTATCAAAAGAAAAGCAGAACATCATCAAATGCTAGCTCAGCTTCTTCCATAAGATCTATGATAGTTTCTAAATCATTTTCTAGCAAAAAAACTAACACAATAACAATGGATCAATTCAGACATAGTGCGTATGTATAAATCAAAAAAAAAAAAAACAAAACAAAACAAAACAAGAAATTAGATCTTTTTTTTTTTTTAAAAAAAAAAAAATTATATTGGGACTTTTTAATCAAAGAACATTTTTCCCTTTATATAGATATTTATTCTTTGTACACTAGTAATTAATTGTGTTTGATAAATAAAGAATATTTAATTAAATAAATTTTCAACAATAGCCGCCCCACCTTCGGGTCTAGTAGCAAAAATGAAATTTTTTAAATCATTATGTGATAAATGTAAATCTAACTTTAATATTTTTCACTAACAAGTTAATAAATTTGTCAATCTCATTCTCGCGAATTAAAGAAACGATATATCCGGTTAGCCTGCTACCAACTGCACCACCATCCAAATAAATTTTTACCAAATCATCCAGTTCATCGCAAGAACATTCGAACTATTCTTTACAACTTTTGTGACTTTAATTCAACAAATTACCTAATTCTTCAAAAATCGATTCTCTTGTTTCACTTTATGTTTAGATATTTTATATAATTGAAATTTTTCTGCTCTAACGGGAAATCTACTCAGAAATTATCCTTAATTTCATCTTGATTTAAATTCAAAAGTGAACTTAATTCATCTAGAGTGAACCCATCATGATTGTTTTCATAAACCTTTTCAATATAATCCAATAGTGGATGGTAATTTGTTGGTGCCGCGCAAAGTGATGGTAAAAATTGAATGTATAAAACATGATCTTTTAAGCGTAAAAACTAATTTGGTCGCCTTGTTCATGATCTTACAAGTTTTTCTATCCTTGTTGAGCGGATTTTTATACCAATAAATTGCTGGATCTATATCTTATAATATTTAAAGCCAACATTTCATCTTTTGTGATACCATATCCATACTAATAACATGTACCGACGTAACATTGTGCCAACATAGAATTTTCTTTGAAGCATTAAAGAATAAACTAAATGCTTTTTCAATGTTCTTGTTTAATCCTATTCCAGAATAATTAAAATATCTAAGTAAAAAGTGGAATTGGAATCGTTTTGATCGTCCATTTAATTAACTCTTGTAATATTATGCTGTGAGCTTTAAGATAATCAAAAATACCTAGGTTTCGTAATTTTGTCAATTCCTTTATTTTTTTCCTTAAAAATAAGATTAACTAATCCTTTAATAATTATACTCGAATTTTTTTCAGATAAAATAACTTGTTGGCTATTTGGTGAAGCTTTAGATTCCATCTCCCTTGTATTAATCTGATCAAAGTTCGAGTATCACCATTTTTCTTTACTTTGTTTGTTTTTGTAAATATCCTTAATTTGGCAACTACTTGACTAATGGTCGGTCGATTCTTTGGCTCATCATCCCAACATTCTAAAGAATACATATATGTAATATTTCAAATAGATCATAAATTTACAATAATATATTTACCAATATAAAGCTTAACATAATCATCAGGAGTATCAGGAGCCAGTGATTCTCTAAGACCTTGTAAAATGTTATAAATCAAACCAAAATCACCATTGGCATAAAAGGGAGGGTAACCACTTGATATCTCCCACATAAGCATGCCTATACTGTAAACATCACTCTTTTCGTTTAGCTCATATGGTTGGTCATTGTTTAATCGCCTGTTAAACAATTTTAAATCTATATATGGATATTATCAGATAATATTGATTGTCTAGATGACGCTGTTTCAATTCTTTTCGACAATCCAAAACCAGCCAATTTAATGCTATTTTGATGTACTAGTATACTTTTGGAATGCTAACATACAAAAAGGATTTGATATATTTAAAATTAATATTTAAGGTTAATAATTCTAATATAATAAATCACAAATATATATTACCAAATCACGACACAAAATGTTCTCGACACGCAAATATGATACAGCATGAGCCAGCTGATAAGCCATGCTGTATTTACCTTTCCAAGCAAGCTTGTCAAAACTTTTATTCAAATAGTTTCGAAGTGTGCCCCCGTCAGCGTATTCCATTATTAATAAACATTTTCTTGATTTTCTAATATTTTTTTTTTTTTTTTTAAAAAAAAAGGTAGTCTAGGTTACAAAGTTGATTATATTATACTAAATTTAATTCTATAGAGCAATATGATTTGTAAATATTTATCATATCTTGATCAAAAGTCGTAATGCCATGAAGGCGAATAATACTATCAAGAAAACCAATTTTATGACGAAGCTTAATCTAGAACATAGAATTTCAATTTAAAAATGTAAGGTATTCGTGAAAGCTAGAAAGACATGTTATATTATGATTACCTCCTGAACGACTTCTCTAGCCGTGATGCTGTTAAGGTTATAAAAGGATTTCAATGCCAAAACCTTATGAGAATCTTTCCAATTTGCACGGTAGACTTTTCCGAAACCTCCGGAACCAATTTCTTGAAAATGACTAAAAAGGTCATATTCGTAATATTCAATATTTTTTGTAGAAATGGATCTTCAAACCAGCTAGTCCACACGTTCGAAATATCGCGTATTTTGCATTTTTTTTTGAAAAGATTTTTTTAAAAAATAAAAGGGGAAAAGATCAATGTAACGTGATCAAAATTTTGGAAAGGGTCGACATTTATTTTTTAACATAAATAGATGTAGATTAGATTTACTAGGGAACATTTTTTACTTAATAAAGGAGCATAATAAAAATGTTCTTTTGTTACCCAATATCTGGTTTAGTTGTATCAAGGGGATATCGCGCCATTTTTTTTAATATTATATTCGGTCGATTTTGATCTTTTTCCCCATATATCCACATAAATGGTTAATAGATCGTTTTTGAATTTTAGAGAAATACGTGTTTGTCACATGTTTTAAGATAACAAATAAAACATAAATTGTATTGATTGAAAATTAAGATCAATAGTATTTTTTCGTGATAATGGTAAACAATGTAGACAAACACGATGATTTATTAATGTAATTTTCACCACATTGACTTTTCCACAAGTATTTAAAGACGGCAAAATCCTTTCAGACTCGACACTCTTTCATACTGGATGAGTAAATAAATGTTTACATTATATTTTATTTTATTATTACGAAAAATCTCACAATCTTAAATGAGATATGAAAAATTTTAATATATTTTATCAAAATGATACACACATATCTAAATTATAATTTTTATGAAAATCCCTTCTCATTTCATACGCGAAAAAATGTGCATTTCATAATCTAATCGTTATAGTCATATCATACTTATGTTTAATTATACAAAAATATTATTCTTCAGCTTTTTGTAAAACTCCCTTTAATCAAACATTACGATTTGGGAAATCTCAAAAATTTAATAGCTCAAATATTGACTAGCTAAATTAAATTCCAACAAGCAATATATACACATTTTCTGCGTTGAATGCGCATGGCTGGTTAACGTCGTCGTCGTTTACGTTGTATTTTTATTTTATTTTATTTTTTGCGTTGAATGCGCCAATGGCGCATGGCGTTGTCGTTTACGTTGTATTTTTATTTTATTTTATTTTAATATATTTTGCGTTGATTGCGCCAATGGCGCATGGCGTTGTCGTTTATGTTGTATTTTTATTTTATTATATTTTGCGTTGAATGCGCAAATGGCGCATGGCGTCGTCGTTTATGTTGTATTTTTATTTTATTTTATTTTTAAAAAATAAGAGACGAACTCTTGAAAGATGGGATTTTATAATTTATTAATTAAATGGAAAAACCTAATTTTTTGAAGAATTTATATAGAATAACTAATTTAAGATGATTCCGGTACTATATTTATTGTAGAATCATATCAATATTATTCTTTTATGTTTATTCATTACCTATTTTTACAAAAAATCCTTGAAATGTAACATTAAAATTCAAATTAAGAGATATATTAAAGGGAGATTTAAATAAATTAATATTAATTAATGATTTTATTTTGACTTAAAAATAATCATTAATTTTTATGTAATAATTTATTAATAAATAATCAAAAAAAAATTTACAAATTATTTTCTAGTCGGATTTATAATATAGTATGACCTTGATATAACGAATCCATGATATAACGAACTCTTGAATTATCGAACATTTTTTCAAGAACTAGTTCATAATATTTTGATCATATAAAACTTTATATAATTTGTCCAAAAGCGTAGCTGAGGACATTACATCAATGTTTATAAAAACTTCACTACAAACCGGTTCATGGCCTGTTGGTGAATAATTTATGACTTAGAAAATTGATAACAGGTGAAATTGAATATAAGTTATGTAAAAGATGATTGTGAGCTAAATTCAACTTAACTTATACCTTTGAAATGTGATGAACATTTTTATAAATCGAATATACTCATTTAAAATTATAAACTTCAATTCGGATTATCTTGAAAGAGTACATATCCCGAACTTGATATACACACGTGGAGCCGATTTACAACAAGGATTAGCGTCTAAGAATTGCTTGATGTGATACATAATATTCTTCTATCAGAAAAAAAAGTCAAATTGTATAAAAAAATACTTTTTACAAATTTACAAAGGTGTTTAAATGATCGGCATTCCCATGCGTATTAAGATTTTAAGTTTATAATGAAAAAAACTAGTCTAAAAGGAATTTCGTAAATGATATACAAAAACATGCTTACTAACATAATTACCATGAAACTTTCAAAAATATATTTATTCGTTGTTTTCTCTTGTTTAATATTACTAACAAAACTAACTACCATGCAACTTTCAAAAATATATTTATTCGTTGTTTTCTCTTGTTTAATATTTTGCAGTTATGCAAATGGAGAATGTGATGATGTTAATGATTTGGAGGTAAACAAAGACGGCAACACCACAGATTACTTTACATATTACAATATGAGTGGAGGCGATATCACATTTAAGCTGACTAAGTAAGTATAGCTCTCTCTTTAATGTTTTAGCTTTCTGATAATAAAGTGTGAACTTCTTCCGTATAGGATGCCTTGCGGCACGTCTTCACTCGGAATTCGCGTGATACCCAACAAACATAATAAAGAGTTTAAATGGCACACACTCAATAATAACGATTTGAACAATGAAAATGAAATTGGTACGAAGGCGAACGTTTTAGATTATACGATTACGACATTCCGCCTGCAAGCTCAAAGCCAAGATTTCAACAAAATTAGCTGCCCTACCCCTTCTTTCAGTGGTCTAATATGCTATTCTCAGCAAAAACATTCTCATCGTAAATGTGGCGTAACTTGTATGTCCATTATTGGAGGTGTTTTTGGAAGTATTGCTGGAGGTATTATAACAATTATGATATTGTCACGTTGTTGCAGAAGCAGCGTTCCTCGTAATATTGAACCTATTAAGGTATATGATACCGTTACGTGAAATGTTGCAACTAAATATTAGATAATATAATTTTATGTTACTTAATTTAGCTGATTTGTTATATAATAATTTAGATTATTTGATTAAAGCTTTTAATTTTAATTAAAATAATCATTAATTTAGAAAATTTCATTTTATTGTAATTTAATTTAGCTAGTCGTTATATCTTATTTGATAAAACTTTGCAACTTCAATCGTATTAATCATTAATCATTATCATATACAATCTTATAATAAAAAAAAATATTCAATTAATTTTACATGAAACATTTCTTTTTATATTCCTCTTTTTTAAAAGCTTTTTCAATTTTTTTTGAGCAGCATTTTTATATTCTTGTTTATCAACTTGTTGATACCAATAAATTGCTTTATATATAAATGCAAGAGTATATTGAGCCAAATGATGATTTTGTTTAGCAGATTTTTCATACCAATCGATTGCTTTAACCATATCCTTATCGATTCCAAGTCCATTATGATACATAAATGCAAAATTATATTGAGCATTGATATGTCCCAAATTTGCAACTTTTTCATATAATTCAAATGCTTTTGTATGGTTGATATACGTTCCAATTCCATTTTTATAACAATATGCTAACATTGTTACACCATTTAAATAATTTCCTTCTGCAGATCTTTTAAATTACAATTACCTAAAGCTGCAGCCTTTTTAAGCCAATCATAAGCCAAGCTAAAATTTTTTTTAATACCTATCCCTTTTCCATAACAAAAGCCAACACCTAATTGACCTAGTGCATATTCATCATCAGCCAACATTTTATAAGAACGAAAGGCCCGTGCTTCACTTTTTGTTTCACCACATCCAAATTGGTAACTTAACCCCATGTAATATTTTGCCAAATTGTGATTATGTTTGGAAGCATTAATAAATTGTTTAAATGCTTTTCTATGATCTTTGCTCGTTTTAATTCCATAAAAATTAAAATATCCTAATAAAAAGATATAATTTGAATTATTTGGATCAATTAATGAGATCCAATTGAATATTTCTTGAATGACAATATTTTGACTATCAAGATAATCGATAATATGCTGTTCGATTACTTCAATCGAGCTTCCTTCATTTTCTTTCTTAAAAATAAGATTAACGATTTCATCAATAATTATATTTAAATCTTTGTCAGATAATATAGCATTCATCTGAAGTAATGAATTCTCATTATTCTCATTAATTGGATCAAGATGCGATTCATTTGATGTCATCACAGATTCTGCAACTTCACTTGTATTTAACTGATCTAAATTCTGAAAAACTTGAGATATTTCTTCACAATCGTTACTTAAATCAAGTTGTGGTTTATTTGATAAATTATTAAAATACGGCAAAAACTTGAGATAAATCTTCATTCAATGAATGATCATTACTTAATGATATTTTAATTTTATTTGAATCAATTTGCGGTTCATTTGATGTTATTAAGGTTTCTATTACTTCTTCTGTATTCATCTGATCGAAATTCTTAATAACTAGAGATATTTCCCCATGCAATGAATGATTAATGCTCGGTGATGCATTAACATTGGCATCATTTATCTGATAGATGGGAATCTAATTCACAAATATCAGTTTGATCATTTTTTATTTCGTGTGGTGCAATGAGTTCTTTCAACCTTGTAGCTACTTGACTCATGGTTGGACGATTATCCGGTTCATGATCCCAACACTCTAAAGAATATATAATCTTAAAATATTAGTAAGCGTTCAGATCATCTAATTAATTTAAATAATATATTTACCGATATAAACTTTTACATAATCATCCGGTGTATCGGGAATAGTTGTTTCTCTAAGACCTAGTGTAATTTTCACGGCTAGGCAGACATCATATTGTTCACCTTCAACATAAAAAGGGGGATGACCACTTGATATCTCCCATAAAAGTACGCCAATACTATAAACATCACTCTTTTTATCTAATTTGTAAGTTTGAGAATTGAACCGTTTTGGTTCAATATAAGGGATCATGCCAAAAAATGTTGAAAGTTGTTTAGACGATGCTTCAATTCTTTTAGACAATCCAAAGTCGGCTAATTTGATGTTATCTTGATGAATTAACACATTATTGGAATGCTATTATCAAACATATCAAATAACGAAGTTAAATTACGAAATAAATTTATTTTACATAATACGTAATTAAAATCATTACCAAATCACGATGCATAATTCCTTCATCATGCAAGCATAAGACGGCGTCAGCCAATTGAAACGCCAAATTAAATTTATCAACCCAAGTAAGTTTGTTAAATTTGGCCTTCAATAGTTTCTAAGCGTACCACCGTCAGCATACTCCATTACTAACAGGTATATATCCAATTGACTATTTTGATTTTCTAATAATAAAAGAAACGATTACAATATCAATAATTTTTATAAATGCTCAAGTCTTTTTAATTATACCTGATAATTTTGTTATTCCATATAAACGAATAACGTTGTCATGAAAATCCACATCACGTTGAAGTTTAAGCTAAAAAAAAAAAAAAATATTAGGAATAAATCACAATAGAAATGATAAAAATCGAAAAGCGAATTGTAACCATCATACCTCATGAACAATCTCTTTTAAAGCGGTTTTGTCAAGATTAAAAAAAGATTTTAATGCTAAATATTGTCCCGAATTTTTCCAATTCGCACGAAAAACTTTTCCAAAACCTCCAACACCAATATCTTGAATCTTATGAAAATTTTTGTAATCATAATATTTAATATGCTTTTTAGAATGGCTTCATCAATCCATTAATCCATTCATTTGTATTTCCTGAACCTTGCATCTTTGATATCGGACAAAAAGAAAATTCCGACTTAACGGTTAGCCTTATTGTGACAATGAATGCATTAATATAAAATGAAATGACCGATATGGTAAAAAAATATGTGGCACAAAAGCGCCGAATCTTTCAAAAAAATCATTTGCCGATCATTGACATTACAAAAAACTTGGTGAGATTTCGTGAATTAATCGAAAGAAACTTTATCTTCCGACATCAACGTCCATGGCCACAAAAAAGTCCGACCTGGATTCAATTGACAACCTGTGGGCTATTATCAAAAAGTGCATTCGTGGAAGGAAAAAACGCCTTCTGAAGTGACTTTAGGAAGTCATTAATTTTACAACTTAAATTTTTAGGTTTAATTTTTTTAAAAAAAATTTTAAATTGTCACATCAATCACAATAACATTATCATATGGAATGATGATTTTCTAGGAAATCATGTTCTAGAGAATTTTTTATGACTAAAATTCAAGCTAATCTTTGTATATTTTTTATTTTCCAGAAGTTTCCAACCTTTCAAAGGTTCATTAATGCAATTAAAGCTATAATGAATATGGTAAGTTAATAAAGATCGTGCTGATGTGTTTGTAAATCAATTAACTAATTGGAGTTCAAAAATAAATGCTTTATCTTTAATGTCATTTAACTTACAATGGTTTGGTTTCATAGAAAGCTATCGTCAGAATTACTAATATCCATTAGAATAATCTTAACTGAATATGGAAGACACATTCAATAATCGACTTTCTCGTACCACAAAAAATTTGATTTTGTGATCTTTGTCAAAGTCGCATGTTTATACAAATTAGGGTAAACCTTACCATTCTTGAACTTTGCCATACCATTTTCGTTTGGTTAAAATCGGTTCCTTATTTGGCGCCGTAATTACCACATGGTGATTTCGGTAGATAACGAAGCGAAGTTCCGTAAATTATTACATAAATAGAAATAATCCAATGAATGACTTTGCTTTTTCCGTCCCCGATATATTCAAAATTCTAGAATTCCTTCCTTTATGTTTAGAATTGTATAAATAAAAGCCAAATTGAAAATTTATTCAAAAATAATTCATTTGCTTCCAAAAGTCCTTTATTATTAATTTTTTTAAGACATTAAACATGTCCCGTAACAGATGCGCTCGTCGCGAGGAAAAGCAACGTCGTAATGCCGAATTCCGTAACGAAATGAAAAACCAACTTAGACAAATATTTTCAATATTATCGACAGGGACGATGACACAATATAATAAAATTGTTCAAAGTCATTCAAATGTCCCTTATAATAATTTTAACAACACACAGCAAACAATTCCAATGCCACCTGAAAGAGTTGAACAATGGGTTGTGACTCTGAGAACCATATTTCCTGATTGTGAACCGGCATTCATTCGAAATTGTCTCGAAAACGAAACGAATGATCATTTAGAAATTGTAGCCGAAAGATTATCAACAACACCATATCCTAAAGTAACTTCAGTAACACCTTTAACGTCTAATTTACTCCTGGAACTGGATAATGACTTCCTTTTCGAAGAGGCACCACCATCATATGAGGAATCATTAGAACAACCATCCCCACCTTTGCCTGTACGTCATCATAGGAACTCACCATTATTTTCACGGTCACAAGAATCATAAGCGCCGTCATCACGTGACACTACGAATCACCCTGTTCAATCTTTCCTCGCAATGTTCAAGCCATCTACAGTTTACGTTATTTTATCAAATAATTTTTGTCATAATTATTATTATAATTATTGTTAATATTTAATTCAAACGAGATCACTCGAAAAAAAATACATAAATTTCTTTACTACTTTAATACTCATTTTAAAGTGTGATTATTTTATTTTTTATTACGCCCATAATATTTATAGAAATATAATTGTACATGATCAAGATTATGCAATTTACTTTGCGGTTTCGTTTTTCTAGTTAATAAAAATGTATTCTTAATCTACTTTCTATTTTAATTGTAACTATGGTCGATGGAATAGTGATAGTGGTACCGTTGAATAAGGCTGGGTCGGTTCGGACCGGCCCGTAAGTCAGTCCACCAGGACCCTACCGTTGAACCGCAGCATGAAATCATGTGATGATCATTCATTTAAACGTTATTTAAAAAGTTTTAATAGAATATATAAGCTTAATTGATGTGATCAGCTTCGTGATTGTGATGTAATAGTATAATGTGAAAATACGCGTATAAAAAGACCTGCAATCTCAACTTAACTTTTTCTCCACCCTTTTTTCAATATAACCCACTCAACTAAATCAAGAATATAAAATCTTTATTGATGCTACGTTTAATTTGAAGGACGAGATTTAGTCATCAGGGAATTTTCAATAATAAAGATCTCCAATTCTTAGAAAAAAAAAATGGTTAGAAGAAGCATAAAATGATAAAATAAGCAAGCCAATGATTAATTTTCATTACCGAAATTTTTTTTTTTTTTTATTCCAAAATATCATATAGTCAATATGAATTTAGAGCTTCTAATGAGAAATTACTGGACTAATGAACATATATTCTGATTATATCGATCTTTGACAGACAAATGAAAAATTTCACTATGAGATCATAAGATTGCTTTTAAATAAATAAATACCATAAATATAAATTGAATATTTTAAGCTAAATGATTGATAAACATACATATATAGAAGAAGATCTTAAAAAATATTATGAAATTTAAAGAAGTACAAATAACGGTATCATATGCAAATAACATAACAAAAAGTAGAAATGATCCATCATAACGTCATCTATTCAAAAATCTTTCAAAGGTTTCTCATTGGTATAATTGAAAATCTTTTATGTTACGTAGGTCTCGTATAATTCTCTCAGAACAAACTGGGGAGTTTTGACCAACTTATTCTAAGTTGTCTAATCTGATCCACTCGCACAGGATTAATGAGACGTACAGGTTCATTCTACACATATTATTTGGAATGATAGACGCTATTTACTGCTGATGAGGTTGCTTGAATTTCTATTCTGTTTTCTGATAGCCAATTGCAATTTTCACATTTTCTTTTCAATAAAGCCTACTATTGTTTCTGACTCAAAGCATCATTGATTTATTGATCTCGTAGTCCTTTTGAACAATAAGTTTCCGATATAATTCAAACAATCATATTTCTTCTGCTTACCCGAAAGTCAATCTAAAACTCTTGATCAATCCTTAGAATGCATCCAATAAGCACAATTGAGTATAATAATACAACTTTACGTTTCAATTTCAGAAAAGACTCGATGGAAACTATTTGATTGTGGCTTAACCCTTGCATAATACCCATCCATTATAGCTTTATCAGATTTTTCCCCTTCATATTTACAACAAATTTTCATTTCTAAGAACTATTGGTAGTATCTGCTTTTTGCACCTGCATCAACATAAATTTTTTTTGATACGAAATGGTAACTCACCATTTTCTCATCTCTCCAGTATGAATCTGAGACACTGCAACCTATTATTTTTATAAGCTAATACAGTAGTGGTCATAAGTATCTGACCGCCTCTAACTCCGGCTATAAGTAAGTAAATTCAAATTTTTTTTTTATTTAAAAAATACATAACTAACTAACTAAAATTAATATATTGTGTAGTCACCATCTGACTCTATAAGTGCAGCTGTACGTCT